AGTTATGAATATATCTTAAATGAAAGAAATGTAGTGTAATTTTGAATCAGAACGTTTAAATATTGAAATTAATCAAATATATCGAAACTCTTCAAGTCACCTCTCATGTATCATTTTACATGTTTTCATGAATCATGTTGTTTGGTGATTCAAAAATTGTAGTTTTTAATTTTTTTTATTTTATTTTATTTATTTATTATTATTATTTTTTTTTTTAATATTCCAATTTTATTGGAATATCAACCTTTATGCTGCAATATTTGACTACAGTCAAACGCATTCTATATACTTCTTCATTATAATAGTACGTATTAAAATTAGGATCAACAATAATACATATATATATATATATATATATATATTAATAATGTGAAAAATATAAAGACAAAGATGGAAGTTATAGAATTTTTTTTTTCTCTCAAAATATATATTTTTCAAGAGAAATCACTTGTGCAGCATAAAAGTAGTTAAAGTACTTACACAAAATTTTTTTCATTAAGTATATCAACGTACGTTATACGCACTAACAATATTTTGTAACGCTAACAAATCGTTCTTTCAAAAAGGTTACACCCGAAAGCCTCCGAATTTCGACAATAAGAATATAATTCTTATCCATTCGATGCTATCGAATCGCAATAAGCTGTGTTTCTGCCGAAAGCCATCGATTCCACCGTACCAGTTCATTCCACATTATATATTATGAGGAAATTCGTGGAAATTCGTCTACGACGAAACAGTAGGCTCGATATATAACGACAGCATAAGTACTATAAGCGCAATGTTTTCTTCGTGTCTCGTCTACGCGTGATGTATAATAATCTGCCTTGTCTCGTTATTATTATTAGATTCAATGTAGATGAGGGACGTGATTTCGTTTACAGCCAATGCCTTTCGATAAATTTCTAACAATGCAATGCATACGGATCTCATTATTGGAAATTCACATCAAATCGTATCGTCTATGCAAAATTGCAACGATCATATCACTTCGCTCATTTCCATTAGAATCTTGATAAATATTTTTCTCTAAACAGAGGCAGATATCGACAGACGTATCGGATTTTATTTCCCTTCTTCTTTGTTCATTTATTTCGTGATCGTTCTAGCGGCCGTCGATCTTTGGCAGAATCACGCTTTCGTTACACTTTCTTCTTATCTTTTCTTACTTTTCGTTTTTTTTTTTTTTTTTTTAATTACATCGTGTATATATATACGATCACTCGATGCGGATAATATCTCTTTGCGTTTCTTACCTAGTTCAGGTCCTGCCCTTTTTAAAATCGATCGCGTTTATTAAGATACTGCGTTTCAGTACGAAATAATAAATCCTACGTTGAACGAGTTTCCTGAAGTCGTTTGGAAGCAGTCTTTCAGCTTTTTTTTTTTTTTTTTTTTGTATGCATTGACGCAAAAGTCGTCGTACATATTTCTTTTTTTTCTTTATCCATTTTATTCATTTTCTTTCAATCTTTCCAACCATTTTCATTTTTTCGTTACTTTTTTTTTACCATTTTTTTTTTTTTCCATTTTCTAAATCGCGCGTTTAATACATCTTCGCTTTCATCTTTTCTCTCTCTCTCTCTCTCTCTCTCTTTCTCTCTATCTCTCTATCTCTCTATTTTTCTTCATTTTTTCGTTTTACGCAATTAAATGTACAAATAATATCTATACACATTTAAAACTGGTAGAAATTAGAAAGTGTATTTTCATTTGACTAGCTTTTGACCGTCTCTCCTGAAAAATTATGAAACATGTTCTGTTCTCTCTCTGTACGTATGTACGAAACATTTTCTGGGATTCTAATTGCATACGTAATGTCTATGTGTATTTATGTATGCATGTATGTATGATTGTGTGTGCGCGCGCGTGTGTATATGTATATTTATGAATACGATGAACTTGTATGTCAAATTGTCTATGAAAATCCATTTCTTTTTTTTTTTTTTTTTTTCTTTTTCTTTTTCTTTTCTTTCTCTCTCGTAATTGTAGAAAGGGGAAAAGAAATGTGCGGGGAACAAATGATCACTGCAAAATATCATATCGATTATTAATCGTTTCTCTATTAATCTTTTCCGCATAGACGATTCTTCTCGTTCAGACTAATTAATTGAGAAATCACCGCGCGCCATTACGTAGATTCATGATCCTAATAAGAGTATAATCGTTAGAATAAATTGTTACAACCTAGATATACAGCTAGCAAATTACTCTTTCGTTAACATGATATATACTCTCACATGCACGCACATGCAAGCGTTTATTCTTATTCTCCCACTCTTTCATCCATTTTTCTTTCACTCGATCTTTCTTCTTCATTCTCTCTTTTTTTTTTTTTCTCTCGCGCTTCGTTCTCTAATTCTTAATATTTTGACAGGTTTTTCCTTCCGCAGTCTTCCAATTGTTTTTATTCACGCGGCCGTGCAGCTGTCATTCGAGAATTAAACGAATGCAAAAACGTCCGAAATTCACCACACGGCTCACGGCGCGTGAATTGTTCAGTCTTTCGTTTATATTATTTTTTTTTTTTTTTTTTTTTGTTTGTTTGCTTGTTTCGCGTATTGTTTATCGATACGTTATATCAGTTTATCGCTAATACTATTATATTTAGTTATTAAATTTAATCTTCTCCGTATTTTTCATGACCTTCGATTCCATCTTTTTCCCAATCAATCTTTTCTCTCATCTTTTTCTCTTTCTCTCTCTCTCTCTCTCTCTCTCTCTCTCTCTCTCTCTC